CCCCCCCCCCCTTAGATAGAATGCAGAAAAGCAGACCCACCTCTATTCAAACAGACGGTATACCTATTCAATTTTAAATCTTGACTATCATTTCTCTTCTTATACTGACAGGCACAAGAAGAAAGACTGCGGATAGAGAACTATGTCATAAGCAAAACAGGAAGATCCAGGGGGAAACTACTATTGCGTCGCTCCCAGTTACTTCCCAAATCAGAAACGGACGGCTTGGAAAAATCTCAAACAACAATGGAAAGAATGGAGACTCCTGACGTATTTCCGGTTGAAGCATTCTTCAAAGTTCCTATCGAAAAGAGTAACGGTCTTACTTATACGTTAACCAAAAGAGAACGCGGATACAACGTCATTACTGATTGGCTGGGTTGTCCGGAAGTCACCGACGAGGTGCTGAAAGAATTGGGTACAATTACGCGCTCATTGGATCCCTCGTCGGCTCAAGCTAAATCCCAGAAAGGGGAGAATGGCACAGAAGACGGGCGGAACGACGAAAAGAAAAAGAACAGGTTTGTACCAGACATTGCAACACTGGGCGTCGAAGGGAAACAATACAACATGGCTCAAAGTGAGATAAGAGCTCTTGAAGGAAGGACAGAAGCAAAAGGGGACGGATCAGGGGATATAATCCCATCGGAAATACACGTTCATGATGGTAAGATTGCTGGTGAGGTTTTTGCCTCAGAAGGATGTAAACCAAACGTTATGAAGGCCGCAGCACCAAGACTATCACAGGTTAGTTTGATTTTCGGGAATCACAAGTTGTTCTACTCTACAGACCCCGAACGAGCTAAAAAGAAGTGGGTTATAGAGATTGGCTGTTCAGCAGAGGTTGGAGAGAATGCTATTAGTTCTGTGTTCATGCAAAATACGGGCACCACAGTCATACACTTTAACTGGGTCAAGATTTCTCATGATGATCCCTTTGAGCTACACCGATACGACATGGAACATTTTGTATTCGACTACTGGGGAGGCACCATATTGTCGGGTGAGATTTTCCGAGTGCCGTTTATGTACAGGAGCATAGGGACTGGCTACTTCTCGGAGGACTGGCGACTTCTGACAAAACCTCTCTTGGAGAACGGTGCTGACATCATTCTTCGCATGTGGGGTGTGACGCGACAGTACGATCCTTGTTTCCTGGCCAGAGATCGTATCGACGAAGATTTGCAGTCCAGAATGACTTGGAACATCGTTGATAATCGTTTGCACAAGATTATGGACTACCTACCTCTGAAAGATTCCATGCTCAAAGACACGAGGTTCCCGCTCAACCATCGGGGTCCTGATTTGTTCCACTTCAACAACCCGCATTTGTACTACAACACAGCTTCAGTGTTCCGGCTGGGCAAGCTACACGAGATGCTTCAACTGAGGAAAAGTAAACGCCAGCGCCTGAGGGGTCCACCAGCAGAGGAGGACATGACTAAGCTTGACAGTGGCGAGGACTCAGACACCTTCATCTCGAACTCCTCTGCTACCCTGCCTAGACCAGAGGTACTGAAGGTGAGAACGGAAGGGTTACTTCATTAGTAGAGCTGGAGTCTGCTCGATTAATCGAAGGCTTGCAATCAGCGGATGGCTTGCGCCAGAGGCTTGCTAGCAGGCTTGTGCTTTGCTTTGCCTCCAGCTCGCTACCGGATGGAAATTCCGGTGTGTTGTGACTCGTGGACAGTCTTGCCAGGTTGCGTCCGCTGCTCGCAAGCCTTCGACTTCGATTAATTGAGCAAACTCCAGCTCTAGTGTCCCGCCGCACAGTGACACTGTGAGCGGGGTCTCGCTCTTCCCCCCTCTCTCTTTCTGACGTAAGTGGCTTCGCCGACTGCAAACAGGGTGGGAGGATGGTGGGTCTGACACGAGTGGCTTCGCGGATTGCTAGTTGGTGTGGACTTGAAGCTTGGACTAGACTCAACTTATCATGCTGATGATTTGATTTGATGATTTGATCTCGTGATTTGAAGCTTGTGTCTTGAACTACGGGCTTGCGAGCACGACCGGGTTTGCTACCGGGGTACATCTTATTCATTAGTCCTCACCCTCCACAGTACCATGATTGTGGAAAATGCAAAAAAAAAAAAAAAAAAAAAAGAAAAAAAAAAAGAACTACAACATATTATGCAAAAAAGGGATAATCCAATCTGAAAATAAAACCACCCGAGTGAGTGAAAAAATAAGTCCTCTGAGAATTAACGTTAAAGAGGAATAGGGCAAAAAATAGGACTGTGGAAAAATAAACGTGTATACATTAGTCAATACATGAGTGGTGAGACTTCTAGAAATAAAATGTTTTCGATAAGTTTATTGCACCTCCAAATATAAGTGCGCGTATATAATTCTTTTGGTAGATCTATGTATACCATTATCTGACACTAAGTGTTGAAGGAACACAGAGACAAAGTTTTGTAGATAAAAGTTTAGACGTTGAGTAAATGTACAACGTGGCTGGATATATTTTGATAAATGTCTCTGCGCCCCCCCCCCCATATACCCCAGATTAAACTTGAAAGCTTTATGTCATGTAACTGGGTCGAGAGGTTGCCTTCTTTTCATAAAATGACTTGTCTGAATCTTAAGGATAAAGATAAAGCAAAACATTTACATCAATATCAACTTTCTTTTGATAAAATTCTCACCCATTTTTCTCTACAACTCAAAAACAATTACAATCAGTGTATAGCATCACTTAAGCACGGACCAAGTAGCAAAATGAAACTAGCTGGGCCCCCTTTCGATGAAAGGAATGATCGGCGGTGCCTATACGTTCTTATACTAACCGCTCTCTGACAGTCTAGGCCAGTGCTTTAATATCAACTAAAAGTCATTGTCCTACTATAAAATGTACACTCTGCTGGAATGGGGCAATACATCTTGAGGGATGCAAAAAATGAGAAGTTCTAGATCTATACTCTCAAAACAAAACTCGCCTCGCGAAATATCACTTCCGGATTTTCTAAAATTATAGAGACAGAAGCGTCGGCCTACAAAAGCGATCGGCGAAATGAAGAAATTTAGCTTTTTGCAGCAAAACTGTCTCAAAACTGAAAAAACCAAGGGCGTCATGCTCTGAAGAATATTTTAAAGAATCTTTTAGCGAAAACCGCATGTCGATCGATGCAGCCATTAAAAAGCCTTTTGAATAGCAAAATTCGGCCACCACAAATAGATAATAGATAATCAAATACATGTACTGAGAAATAGATCTCGTCATTAATACTCATATTCTCTTACTGTTTCATCTCAATGTTGAAATACTATTTTATTTACTCACATTGTCATAGTCAATAGTTGTCTGATACGAGAATTAGATCATTAACACGCGCCCGAAAAGTTCCCTACTATTTATGTCCCATGAACGACCTCTCATCTTACTCCGTATAAGGAGCCAGGCGAAGGCGAAGGAGAGGACATGGAAGCCTCAATCCAGGAAGTGATCGAAGAGTATAACAGCGACTTGAGCTTGACTCACGTCACCGGGACTCAGTCGGAGATCATAGAGCATGCCACTCAAGTGATCAGGAGGAGGATTGACCCGGATATACCTGCTCTCAAGGTCAGTGGTCAGGATATTCTTAGAAGTACAAAGGTCTATATTATGCTCGGTTTTGAGAAATTTGACTTAAAACATTTTGGGTTTTACATGTCAACCTTTTTCGAATGCTGACATCATGGTCTTAAAAACTCAAAGCGGCCAAAAATGTCAGAACTTTGTAATTTCAACATAGTGAAATGTCCCAACACGCTGGCACGTCCACTAGGACTTCATATTATCCTTGCACGGGAATCTTACAGGTGGACATGCGACCTCAACTAACACACTTGGGATTTACTTACAAAACTCCACAGTGACTTGTGCACGCAACATGCTCTAACACGTGCATGTTATCTACCGCATGATCCCTTTGAGGGAAGGACAGTGGTAACAGGACAACAAAAACAACTCTGTGGAATAACTTAACGTTGTCAAAATGTTTCGAATCGTGCGGATGATCGGTGGGTGCTTTAGAAGGGACTCTTCGCACTTTCTTCATCTGTTCATTATCACTACTATCCCAGTCTGCTTAAAAATGTTAAACGCTGTTCATTGGCTTTCAGTTGATAAAAGAATCCTGTATAAAGTTTCTATCATATGTTACAAAAGTCTTAACAATAATGCCCCTTCGTATCTGTCTGAGCTTTTAACACCGTACGTTTCATCTCGCCAGTTACGGTCATTCGCAGACGTATCAACATTCAGGGAGAGGTTTCTCAGTTTTTGGCCTTACAATCTGGAACTCCTTGCCCCAGGACCTCAAAGAAATAACAAAACTTAATACCTTGAAGCGATTGTTCAATGCACATTTGTTTAATTCTTAGTTGTAGTCTGTTAGTGAGAGCTGATATGTTCTTTTTTTTTTACTGCTGTCCTTGCGTGTATATAGCTAATGTATGGTTGTGGAAGTTCCTCTTCATGTGGTTGAACGGGTTTTTCTTTAACTGTGAAATGTTTTATCTTGTGGGAATGAAGTGTTACGCTCAGTGATCATGCGATTGATGTGACACGCTCAGAGCTTATACTCGTATCGGATAGAGCGCGGTATAAACGCAATCTATATTATTATTACTATCATTATCATTATCATTTTTAAAAATTATGATGATGATGATGATGATGATGATGATGATGATGATGATGATGATGATAATGATGATGATGATGATAATAATGATGATTGTCAAGGGTGGCCGTTATCATACTCAGACTCGCCTTAACATGAGCTCATTGATGAAATAGGAAGTCACACCCACATCGTTTCATGTTCAACCAGTGCACGAGTGTACCACACACAAAGAAACAGAAAGTAGGGAGAAATTCCATTTTGCTCTATGGCTCTGTCTGTAACCTTACTGTTGAATGTGGAATACAGTTCACCACTTGAAAATAACATAATATAATAGTTTAAAATCGAGTGCCAAATGTATTAGTTTGTATAGAACAGGTTAAAAAAAATATGCTAACCTAGAAAAGCTATTTTTTTAGCAAATAAATTTATGTAAAATACTTAAGGTCTTTTCCTCGGGTACCCCCTCCATTGACTCCCTCAAGACGAAAATAAAGGAAACAAAAACCGCAACAAAACAAACAACTAAAATTCCAATACACAACACGAAACAAAATTCAAGACCCATCTCCCCCCCCCCCCAAAAAAAAAAGAAGCTTCGGGGTTTTCAAGTGACCGTTTATGTGAGTGTATTAAACTCCCGCTTACTCGGCAAGTAAATTACAAACTGTCGAATTACAACCTTTGTTACGGGTAGACTATTTTCAGTTACACAAGACAGATCTTCCTGAGGGACATTTACAGTTATGGGGAGAGTGCTCTTAGCCCCAGTGAATACCAAAAATAGAACGAGAGGGTTTCAAAAAAGTTATTACAGCAAGCCCATAAAACGTGATAATGATCGTAGTAAAGCAATAGGAATAAATTCTGGCCACTCGAGAACTTATTTATAGTTGTGAAGAGATGTTAAAATTCCGATCTTGATCTCAATCTCGTCTGTGACTCAGAAATCCGCAAGCACTCATGTTTGACCTCATATCTTAAACACGAATATCAACATGCAGCTGTTTTATTGGCTGGAAAAACAAGTGGAGGGTTTTGTGCAAGAAGTGCCCAAGTGCAGAAACGCCTTAGTGCCAATCCATAAAAAAATCGTACCCATGTACAGTTCGTGTGTTCGGTCTTATCGTTTGAAATGAATGATACATTCTTTCTCTTAAACCCTACCTTTTAGAAATGACGATGGTTGTGCTGCTGCTTCTGCTGCTATGGCTGTTGCTGCTGCTGGTATTGCTACTGCTGCTTCTACTGCTTCTGATGCTGCTGCTGCTAATTATGATGATGATGATGATGATGATGATGATGATGATGATGATGATGATGATGATGATGATGATGATGATGATGGTGATGGTGATGATGATGATGATGATGATTGAAGTTATAATTCCGTACGAAGAAACAAATGCATCACCAACTTTGTGTTGAAATTATGTTTTTAAAAGTATACATAGGTGGACGATTTTCTTATGTAAGCACCAAATTATGTTGTTTACTGCCATTTCTTATGCTACTGTCCTCCTATTGCTACTGTTGCTGCTGCTGCTGCTGCTGCAGCTGCAGCAGCAGCTGCTATTGCTATTGCTATTGCTGTTGCTGCTGTTGCTGATACTGTT